GTATTACTCTTTGGGTCCTACCTTTTAAATAAGAATTAATCCAAAGTAAAAGAGACAGAGGGAAACCTGTTCGCTCAAGTTTAAAAAGTAAAATGTCATGATGCACAGAGTCAAACGCCTTACTGAAGTCAGTGTAAATGACATCAGCTTGCATTTTCGAAAGGAAAGCATCATTTACCAAGGAAGTAAACTCAAGCAGATTGGTCGTAGTTGACCGATTTTTTACGAATCGATGTTGAACAGGGGAAACAACTGATTTGCAGAAATGCTGCAAATTCGAAGTGATTATTTTTTCAAATAATTTAGGAATAGCAGACAGTTTTGCAATGCCCCTGTAATTTTGTATATCTGACTTCCCACCTTTCTTGTGAAGAGGAATGATATAAGATTCCTTCCAAAGAGATGGAAAGACGGAAGTTTCAAGGGATAGATTAAAAAGCTTTAGCAATGGATAAAGAAGGGAAGAACTACACTCCTTGAGTAGACAACTAGGAATATTGTCCGGCCCAGGAGAGTAAGAAGATTTCAAAGAGTTTATAGCTAATAGGAAAGAGGAGTATGAAATAATGGGGAGAGGTATAGAACTAACGGAAGAAATAGTATAAGGGTAAGAATTAGTATTAGAACAGACTGAAGAGTAAGTTGATTGGAAAAAATTAGCAAGGAGGTTAGCAGAATCAGTGTCATCCCAAGAGAGAAAGAAGATGGCAAACTTGAAGATTTACGCTTTAAGTTTACAAAATTATAAGGCTGTCTCGGATTTCGGGCGAATTGCCTTTTACAACGACTTAGATTATTCTCATAGCATTGAGAATTAAGAAGAAAGAAGTTCGACTTGGCTATGGAATATTTAGCCAAGTCTGTACACGAACCAGACTTTTTAAACTTTTTAAAATATTTGGATTTTAAATTTTTTAGATGTGATAATCTGGGAGTAAACCAGGGGGTTTTAAAAAAGTAGTCGAAGGAATTTACTTAGGAATACACACATCTAAGAGGGAGTTTAAGGTGATATAAAAAAAATTAATGGTAATATTCATATCAACCGAGTCATATAAGAAAGACCAATCGGTTGAATAAATAAGCTGATTCATCAAAGAATAATTTCCTTTGCGAAAGCAATAGCGGGGCTTATTGGCTGATGACGAAATGAAAGGATTACAATTGAGCATTGCAATCTCTAAAGTAGGATGATAGACATCCTCAGGAAGAGATAAAGGAGGGGACCTAGACACATTAGAAATAAAGTAGTCGTTAACAAATACAAGGTCAAGTGTTCTATTCAAATGATTAGAAATTGAATTGATTTGAAACAACGGAAGATCAAGCATGCAGTCTATAAAATTGTGCTGTGCTGAGGGCACTAGATAATTTTCAGCAGTGAATAATGACCAACAGATGTTCGGCAAATTAAAATCACCCAACACCATTAATAAGTTATTATCACACACGTGTGAAGAAACTTCTTTAATACAAGTAATATGTTTCATATAAACTTGAATATCAGAAGAAGGTGGGACATAAGAGCATGTTACATAGATATTCCGTGTAGGAAAAGACTCCTTAACTGAGACAATCTCAGCGTCAGTAGGCGTACTAAAACAGAATAGTTCAGACTGGAGAGTGGCTTTAACGGCAATTAACACCCCACCACCTCGAGTCGGCCGATCGTGTCTATACAAAGTGAAGTTATTCGGTAAAATCTCAAATCAGATATGGTTGAGTTTAACCATGTTTCTGAAAATGCTATTATATTCGAATCGAAGGAAGTGCTGGCCATGAAAAGATTTTTAAGCTTTGACATAAAACCTCTGACAATCTGATAATAAATATAGATTTGGTCAGAAGATGAAGCTAGTTTTTTGGGGCAGAAATGGTACCCTGTATTGAAGGGACTGGAAGGGTGACAGGCTGGTTACGCTTTTTATACCCTTGCAGAGGGTATTATAATTTTGTCGTGAAATGTGTAACGCATAGAAGGAGACATCTCCGACCCCATAAAGTATATATATTCTTAATCAGCATCAACAGCCGAGTCGATATAGCCATGTCCGTCTGTCCGTCTGTCTGTTTCTATGCGAACTAGTCCCTCAGTTTTAAAGCTATCTTAATGAAACTTTGCAGAAATCCCTCTTTCTGTTGCACGCACCACATATGTAAAAACCAGCTGGATCGGACCACTATATCATATAGCTGCCATAGGAACGATCGGTCGAAAATTAAGTTTTTGTATGAAAAAAAATTTTGTTTATAAAGATATCTTGACCAAACTCGGCATTTATTAGTTTTACTTTACTCCTCATATATCATATAGCTGCCATAGGAACGATCGGTCAAAATTAAGTTTTTGTATAAAAAAACATTTTGTTTATCAAGATATCTTAACCAAACTCGGCATTTATTAGTTTTACTTTACTCTTCATATAAATGCAGAATCCTATTAAGATCGGACCACTATATAGCTGCCATAGGAACGATCGGTCGAAAATTAAGTTTTGTATGAAAAACATTTTGTTTTTCAAGATATCTTGACCAAGCTCGGCATTTATTAGTTTTACTTTACTCTTCATATATATGCAAAATCCTATTAAGATCGGACCACTATATCATATAGCTGCCATAGGAACGATCGGTCGAAAATTAAGTTTTTGTATGAAAAACATTTTGTTTTTCAAAATATGTTGACCATACTCGGCACTTATTAGTTTTACTTTACTCCTCATATATATGCAAAATCCTATCAAGATCGGACCACTATATCATATGGCTGCCATAGGAATGATCAGTCGAAAATTAAGTTTTTGTATGAAAAAACATTTTGTTTTTCAAGATATCTTGACCAAACTCGGGTTTTGCTAGTTTTACTATGCTCCTCATATATATGCAAAATCCTATTAAGATCGGACCACTATATCATATAGCTGCCATAGGAACGATCGGTCGAATATTAAGTCGCATGAAAAAACATTTTGATTATCAAGATATCTTGACCAAACTCGTCATATACTATTTTCCCGGTACTTCTTAGATAGGGGCAAAGCACTATGAGCATTATGAAAAGGTTGGGTCTGCAAGGGTATTAGATCTTTGGGGTGGAGGAGGGGTGGAGAAATTATATTTGGTTATTGACACGCTAGCAGAAGATTTGCTAGCAATATAGGCTGCCAATGACTCAGAAGTGGTGTCCGACGAAAGTCGAGACACAAAAACTTGCCTACGAGGGGCAACTACCGTTAAAGTAGGCGCTGATGGGGCTGTAGGTAATACAGGAGTTGGAGGAGCTAAAGAGGCACAATGATCGTCTTTAACAATCTGGGCAAGATTGCGCGCAGGTCTACCATTGCGGCCAGGAGCTGACGGGGCTGAGGCAGTATGATTAACTGGGACGGGATCAGGTATGGGCTCTACTGGGACTACTACAGGGGTAGAAACAGGGGTAAATGGACAGTCGCTTGGAGAAGGCGATAAAGACAACATTGGGAATACCTCCAAGTTGCTAGGAAGAGACAAGAAAGTCATAGGTGTCTGAACAGACGTAGAGGGCAATTTCAAAAGTTGAGGCTCCAAGCGGCGATTGGTTGGGGACCCAAATTTATATTTGCCAAGCAACTCGAAATTCGAGTCAAAATTACTGGAGAGCTGCATAGCCACATTATTTAATTTGAAGAATTAATTTCTCACAGAATTATACATTCTGGAGAAATCAATTTGCTTGTCGATGCATTTTGGGCACGAACAAGCGCAAGCCGCCCCAGCCCTTCTTGGCAATTGCAGCGATCTTGTCGCAATCACGCCCAGTGAGAACTGCACATTTAGCATGCATCATATTCTCACATAGCCAGCAATTAACAAATTGCGGCAGTGCAGAATCATCAGCCTGCTTGAACGTGCACGGTTTCTTACAGCACGACATAATTATTAAATGCGTATGCAAGTTGCGAGAGCGCAGAGCAAAACGAAAACGGTGCACAAGATAGAGCAAGTCAACACTCAAAAAACAATTATTTGTACAAATACAAATTGCTTGGAGCGAAAAGCAATTGAAAAAATTTTGAAAACACGCACAAACAAGTGTATGCACAGGGGAGCACCAAAGGAAAAGAATCAAAACAGGCAATAACAACATCACGGAAATGACGCCGCGTCTATAAATGCAATAATTAAAAGACTTACGCTGCACAACAGATAACACGTTGCACAGTTTATAAAAGGTTTTCAAATAAAGCACCGAAAAATGCAAAATTTTGAAATAAAAACCAGGATTAAAGCGCAAAAATATGTAAAAATCTTGGAGCACAAGTAAAACACGTCAATCACTCTCAACTGAGAACTCTCTCTCTGGTTGGGTTATTAACTTGATTTATAGCTGTGTGGTGGTAGCGGGGAGGTGGCGATTGGCATTAAATGAAAGATACTTGACATATATATACTACTTTCGTAGCAATATATCATGCTTGGCGACTCTAGGTCTTATTATTTACCAAAATTGCTCAAAAACAGGATATCGATATCGATTTTTATCGATTGCTTGGAAACGGAGTATGTTATCGATTATCGGAAACAAAGTCAATCTGCGCGGGCACAGAGGCCAACGACACCAGCTCCAGTTGCTGATATAGCACCGGGCCAGATGTTCTAACGAGTTAACAGGGGTCAGGGGTCAGCAAAATGCAATTTAACACCAGTCACAGATGCTGACAAAGCTCTGGGCCGGATGTTCTTGCACGACGGCAGCGCACGAGGCGCAAGCTAAGCATTTTAGCGACCGTTGTGAAAAGCACATAATAGCTTAGGTATTTTTGATCAATCTCTCGTGAATTTTGTTTTAAATCCGGCTTTCATATCGTCCCAGCTACTTCGCGTATAAATTAACTCACTCGCCACGGCGTATCGGGGTATCAGCGTTTTATAAACCATAATTAATTAATTAATTTTTTGTTTTTTGAATAATCAAGTAATCAAAATAAAGTCCTATAACGAAAATCAGCGAGCACCTCTAATTTAAATATTAATTGGCGCCCAACGTTTATCGGACCATTTTATTCTATAAATACTTTGTGTGCTGTGCAGTGAAAAGAACTAGTCTACCCGTAATAGACACTTCGCGCTGTGTAAAACCAATACCCAACATACCAGTGCAAATAATAAAAGCTGTGCCTGACCTACATAAATTTACGTCAGCGGCGCAAGCCCAATAAAAAGCCATTTGATACACCGAGGCCGCTGGGGTTCTTCGGCCAGCGACTTGTCAACAAGCCAGCGCGCGAGCGGGTTTGGGCAGCGAAGTAAACTAACAACCAAAGATTTCAGCGAGGGATCATATAAAAGCATTCGTGACTGCAGCGTGGGATTCAGTAGTTTTAGACGTTGAACATACAACCCTTGTTGTATCAAAGAAAATGTAAGTGGGCCATCATGTGGAACAAACTTATTTCAATTTGCGTGATCTATTTTAAATAAAATCCAAAAATACATAATTGAGAAATATTAAAATTGCAGTAAGTGTGTTCCCAACTTACTTTGAGTAACACAATTTTGCGTCCATCAGCAATTTTCAATAAACTCTCCTCTGTCAGCATTTAATTATCTGTTGCTGATTTCCCCTTGAAATTATGTTGTTATTATTGTTGACAGTAAAGTCCATGAACAGCTCGTTTTTCAGGTACAGAGACCGCTCTGCGAGGGGATCTGAGACAGATGAGACCACCAACTTAGATAGGGCAGCCGTCCCGCAAAAAATCGCAGACAATAGGTATAAAATAGGAATGGCCTGAGCAGCTTAGGGCTTTGGTGCAGGCCGCAGTGACCTCCGCCTTAGAAGCACAGAGTGCAGTATTGAAGCAAAGAGATGCAGAGCTGAGGGCTTCATTAAACGCTCAGATACAAGAATTGGCAGACAGAATATCTGCCAGTATAGAAACACCGCCGATCCAGCATTTTGTAATGAACCATTTTGTAATGAACCAGAGACGTACGCTTCTTGGAGACAAGCTGCGATAGCGGTATATAAAATTTACAAGGCGTACGACGGCAGCTCACGCTACTACTAGACGGACATTATTATTAAGAACAAAATTCGAGGGGCAACTGATGGCGTTTTGGGTCAGTTTGGCACAGTAATGATTGTGATGTCATAATAAACCGTCTCATACAGGGATAAGAGAGGCATTCAAGTCATAGAGCAAGAGATGACCACCCTAAGACAGGGCTCGTTAACAATTGCACAATACTATGACGAGGTTGAGAAAAAGCTTACTCTTCTCACCAATAACGTCAACATGTCCTATGAATCAAGCATGGCACAAGGGCTCTGTACGAAGCTCAGAGATGATGCGTTGCGTGTTTTTGTCTCAGACCTAAAGCGTAGCCTGACGGATGTTCTGTTCGCGGCAAAGCCTTAGGACATACCGTCGGCCCTAGCTCTAGCGCAAGAGGTACGCCATTGACGCTAGCTTCGCTAAAGGACAAGAAGTAAGGGAACGAAAAGTGACCCCGACGCTGAAGGTCCGTCAGCAAGAAAGGAGGCAACAACAGAGAGTCAATCACACAGCTTATGAGCCTGATCAAGATTCAGGTTCGTAAGCTAGCTCGGCAGCAGCAGCAGAACAGCAAATCGCCGACGACAATGGTATCGGGTATGACTCAGACACTCTCAATTTTTTACATCAGTAGGAGAGTAGCAGGGATCCAGATGAGATTTCTCATCGACACGGGCGCCTCCAAGTATTATATCAGACCACATAAAAATCTAAAAGGTGTGTGCTCAATAAATTCTTCCTTCTCTATCCATTCTATACACGGCACCACGAAGATCACTCATAATTGTGGGGCTCGACGTGCTCACGCAAGCAGGAGTGTCGCTTTGTCTTTCTTCTGGCTGACTCAAATGTGGCGCAGAACTTGAACAAATCGAATTCCACAGCTGCGCGGATGTTAACTTTACCAAGACTGCGCCGACGCGCTCGATGCTGTAAAAGATACATTCCTAAAGATGCTAAAAAGCAAACATAAGGCCTTCGCGGTGCCGGAAAAAGCACTTTCCTAAAACACATCAGGACCACTGATAAACAACCAGTTTATGTTCGACTGTACCTCTATCCCATGGGAGCAGCGGAATTCGTTAATAAAGATATTCAAAGCCTTCTGAAAAACGGTGTCATCAAAAAATCTGTTTCCCCTTACAACCACCCCATTTGGGTGGTGAAAAGAAGCAACGGACGAGTTTGGTAATAAGAATATGCGCCACGAAATGGATTTTCGCAAACCTAACGAGAAAACCATCGCAGACAGATAGCCTTTGCCCAACATCCCAATGATTTAGAGAAATTTTGGCAAAGCTAAATACTTTTCGACATTGCACCTAAGATCCGGCTATCACCAGATCATGCTAGCAGAGCGTGACCGTGAAAAAACAGCCATTGCAGTTAACAGGGGGAATTGCGAATTTTGTCGACTTCCCTTTGGGTTGAAGAATGTGACCAGCATATTCCAAAGAACTGTTGACGACGTACTGCGTGAGCAAATTGGCAAATCGTGCTAAGTCTATGTTGACGATGTCATTGTGTTCTCAAAAGACGAAAATTCTCATGTCCAACATGTAGAGCGGGTCTTAAAGAGCCTGTACGAGGCAAATATGAGAAACTCAAAGCAAAAATCGCGTTTATTAAAGAAAAGCGTAGGTCATAAAGTGGGCTTCACTGATCGCACAGCCCTTCTAGATGAACTCCTTGACTTGATTAATCCAAATATAGTTAATGCCCTCTATTGCAACCTACGCACACTAGCACAGGTGCAGGATGGCTTAGTTCGCACGCTTAGTTCCAGGCACAAAGTTCTGGCACTGCAAAAACCGAGTTGCAGATGTCTTCAATGTTGACGAGAGGAGAGAAATTCTCGTGACCGAACATAATAGATCGCACAGAGCAGCTTAAGAAAATGTTACGCGAGTGCTATCAGAATACTATGTCCTTGAAATGGCGAAGTTGGCTAAGAATATTGCGGAAAGTTGTAGAATCTGCTCAGAAGCCAAATACGACAGGCAACCGAAAAGACAGGAGCTGGGAGAAACTTCGATCCCTGCGCCTCCTGGGGAATTTCTACACATTAATATTTTTTCCACATTTTTATTGCCACAACGAGCCTTCGATGAATTCTCAAACATAAAGACCCTGCTATTAAACAACTATGGAGTCCATATTGTTAATGCGCCGCCGCTGCATAGCACCTCCAATGGCCAAGTCGAGCGCTTCCATAGCACTCTAGTCGAGCTTGCACGTTGCCTCAAGCTAAACAGAAACATCAATGACTCAATCGCAGTTATAATGCTAGCCACGATTGAGTATAACAGGACAATACATTCGGTCATCAACAAGAGACCTGTTAATGCCCTCCATGTGCCCTTAGGCGAACCTAAAGGGGAAATATCAGAAAAGTTAAGGAGTGCGCACGATGTGCTCCGGGCTAGGCTGAACGACAAGCGACAGAATAGAGTCTTTGAAGTAGCCGAAAAACTACTAGTAAAAAAAACCGCTGGGTTGGCAATAAACTCACGCCATTATGTGGAAAACGAAGCGTAGATGCAGATATTGGCACGACCGTTCTCATTGGAGGGAGGGTGGTCCACAAGGTCAACCTTACGTAGGGCGAGAGCTGAAATAAAACATCGATTCTATGCATCTTAAATTGAACCAAAAGTTTCAACATTTGAGCCACTAGGCTTCACCTTTAAGTTTTAATATTTACGCCACTTGTATAACCTTTAGGAAGACACTTAGTAATAGTTTGGTCCGTTTTGTCTGTCTTGCGCAGGTTCGGGTTTCTGCTATTTCTATTTTTGGCAGGTGCGGCAGCTGGTGTGACTAATTACTCACATGCCAAATATTACCATTGTTGAGGGCCAAGTTCTGGTCTGGGAGGAATTCAATTTCGTCAGGCACGCAGCAAACATCTTTGAGTACGAGAAAATGGTAAGCGAAACAATTGACCTATGTGAAAAGTTTCCGCAGTCACATATGAGAAAGCTTCTAAGCGTAGATGCGTCCCACCTCAGAGATCTGTTAGAAGCTCTTGGGGTGCACCACAGGGTGGCAAGAAGTTTAGATTTCCTGGGCACAGCCCTCAAAGTAGTTGCGGGAACACCTGACGCTAGTGACTTCAAGAAGATCAAATTCATTGAATTGCAGTTGGTGAACTCTAACAACAGATGGGTAGTTATGAACACAAAAGTTCAGGAACAAATCATTACTGAAAGCTGCAAAAAAGAATCAGATTGATTCCGGGCATTTATACGAAACTCTTTTAGAATAGAATGCTGCTAATGGAAATGCAGAATTTGATCCTCGCTGTTACCCTTGCAAAAATTAATATCACAAGATCACGCAGATTTGAAATCTGTTTGGATCGATGAACCAACAGGTACTTCAATAGCTGACCTTATGTGCGTTGCGTCCGTGAAAGTATTACAATCTCTTAATGCCCTTCACTTTATCATTAATTTGCCGATAATCAAAATGGCGTGCAGAGAGGTCATGGTGTATCAAGTTGCACATGAGAATGCTGTGCTACAAATTGACGACAACATTATAGCTGAGTGTGGAGATCAAGTGCTTGCCCCTAAGAGTTGCGCTTCCACGCCGCGAGGAAACTTTTGTTAACTTCCACCGACCAGCTCTTGTACCAGAGAGCTGCATGCTGGTGGCTTGACAAACTGCCAAATACAGCCGAGTCACTTAGACCCGATCACATGGGTCGATGACGGAATTCTAATCATCAATAACCGGCTTGCTAAGGTTTGCACTGAGAACGGTACCGAGACTTGGGTTCACGGAACGAATCTAATCACGTTCGTTAATTGGGCTCTGATCAACGAAACTAAGTACTTGAATCGCAACAACGTCCAGAGTAAGTTCCCCGGCATCGCGGCATCTCCCCTTCTGAACGTCACCGGCCACCAAGAAGTGCTGAGCACCCCTTACCTTCATCGCTTAAATGAACGTAACCTGGAGATCATCAAGAATATCAAGGACGAAAATTGTTGGGTTCTGTGTTGCACCATAATTTGCATCGGAGTCACCTACCGTCGGCTCACCAAAAACATGCCGTCTGCCAAGGAGATTAAGAAGGTGATCGCCGAGATAGGAGCGGCCCAGGGCGGCGTTAACTTTAAAGGTGAGCAGTTATCAGAGGCCAACGACATGCTGATATAGCACTGGGCTGGATGTTCTTACGAGTTAACAGGGGTCAGCAAAATGCAATATAACACCAGCCACAGAAGCTGACATAGCTCTGGGCCGGATGTTCTAGCGGCCGTTGTAAAAAGCACACAATAGCTTAGGTAATTTTGATCAATCTTTTGTAAATATTGTTTTTAATCCAGCTTTTACTGAGGCACACGGCCCAGCGGATTCCCGCATAAATTAACTGACTCGCCACGGCGTATCGGCCTAGTTTTGTAGAAATAATACAAAAAAAAAATCAAAATAAAGTCATATAACAAAAATCCGCGAGGACTTCTTACATAAATCTTATTTTATACATATTGACATACATAAATGTACATATGTACATACAGTATGTCGATAAAATGTTTTTACTCAAGAAGAAAAATTTATTTTTTGGTTTTAATTGAATATAAATGTACTTAAAAGTGAGATTTTTTTCACATCTAATTTATTTCGATTCTTTTTTTCCCCAGAACTAAACGGCATAAAATGATATCAGATTTTGATTTTGGACTTCGCTTTCCGCTTTTTTTTTTAAATATGATCAAACATTTTCTATTGGATACATACTTTGTGGTGGAGTTTCCAATACCTTTCCACTGTTGTATAACACCCACAACCTCACCATATGAGCTTTATGCTTCGGATCATTGCATTGGTAACAATGTAAATTGGCTTATTTCCCTCATAAAGTTATTATTTTTCCCGGCATTTTATTTTTAGTAAAGCTAAGCGTTACAAATTCCAATAGAAAATAACTAGAAAAGTCGAAGACACAAGTGAAGCCAAGCGTTTTGGCTTCCAAATCTAACGGGATCGAACAAAAGAGACCGACCAGCAATTTACCGTAGCTATAAAAACATTTAATTGACAGTATAAAATTTAAATGTTTATAGTTTTTTAAATCTGTAAAATATTTGGATAATGTTATTGAAATGATATTTATGGCGTTTAGTTCCAGGAAAAATAAAGAATCGAAATGTATAAGATGTGAAGAAAATCCTGCTTTTAAGCACATACATTTACTTACTTTACAAAATTAGTTTTTTCCGTTAGTAATAACACTGTATGTATCCTTGCGTTCATATGTACATACAGACAGACGGACGGACGGACGGACGGACGGACGAACAGATAGACGGACATGGCTAGATCCACACGGCTATTGATGCTGATTAAGAATAAATGTACTTCATGGTGTCAAGTACGCTTCATTCTCCTTGTTAAATATATTAGCCAAAAAACGGCTTACCCATGTTAAAGTTTAAAAATTATTTCGGACCGATAATTTGTTAAGTTTTCAGATTCAGGTAAGTTAAATGTTTTGGCTGAAATTTTTTTATTTTTCTTTTTAATCGCAAAAATAATGGCAACCAAAATTGAACTGGCAGCAACGTGATCAATGCCCAATTTTGGCACACGTATACATTTAAAACGTGGTTACCATAGCTGCCCAACTGCATATATCAGTCAACGGCCTAGATAAAGGTTAAGGACATCTCACAGGGCACCTTATTCGCTCCCGTCCCTCTCATTAAACTGAGCGAATCGTGCGGGCAATCGCCAATGCTCTGTCATTGCAACACTCTCGCTCTTTGAGACTAGGTGTCCTTGCCAAACAACGTATCGATATAAGACTACCTAATAAATAAATATCTTCGCTGCCGATAATACCAAATGTAGGAATGCATTCCCAATTTGGTTGTTTTTACAATCAATCTGTGTCAAATATAGATTTCCTAGCTCCCAAATACCGTAGTTATAAAATTGCAAGTCTTTGGTACAAACATAGGTATGAATGTATGTAATTGCATTTATATTCTAAGAGTTATAGCCAAAAATACAACCTCCTCACTCGTTATGACTAACAAAACCAAAATTAGTTAATATTAAACAGGTCATTTTTGTAATTGTCTCGATATTTATTTTTTATTTTTTTCTTTAATCCTTAAGAAATAAAAGTTTTTCATTGTGCGCATGTGCACAAAACATGAATGCAACCGCAATCCCATGGTGGGGTAGTTTTCGTACGATTCCTGAATTTATTTATGTTGCATTATGTAAAAATATAAGTATTTTTTATATGTCACAATTGTCACAATTTTTACGTCGTTTGCACGTAAGTCGGTATAAGTACTCAGATATTGTTTTAAAATAAAAGCTATCGTATTTAAAAATATACCTTGCAAATAAATTTTAATTCTGAAAATATATTTGTAATATGTTTATAATAACAAAAGAAATATTTAAAAAATACGTTTTTAATACCAATCGATTTTTTTAATTCGATAAAAGAATGTGATTATAATTCAAAATTTTGAAACCTAATGTCTGCTATCACTTAATGGTAGCAGCTGTTTTGGGGGTTGCTATTTTGCACTCTTTGAATTTTTACTTTAGAGAAAAGCAAGTTGTGATTACCTGCATACGTCTCACAGTTCTCTGAAATTATTCATTCAGCTTGGTTATCTACTCATAACGGGTTAAAGTGTTTACAATAACATAAAGGTTTTTAAATGTTATATAAATTTTAAGAGCAATATATAAATTGGAATTTAAGCAAACAACCGAATTTGTTCAAATTCTCTTATATTTTAGAAAAAGTGTGAGTGCAATATTTTTATATTCGTCAATGTATGTATCTACAACTACTAGCATATAAAATGTGAAATAATTATATAAAAAGTTTATAAAATAAAAAGAAACAAGAAAATGTTTTCTATATACTGTTAAATTAACAGTTATACACTCCCAGGCAACGTAAACACATACAAAACAACACTTGAAAATATACATTTGTATATACATACGTAAGTACTTGTATAGGGACTTTTATCCTTGCATAGTTATTAATATAAAAATCGGTTCAATACATGTGATATATACATTAGACTTTTTATTTTGCCTGGGCTCTGTAATTTTGGCAGGTGCTGTAAAATATTTTTTACTAAGTGAAGCAGTACTCTCGCTTAATAATTCTGACCTGAGCTGGGAAGGTAAACTCTTTACCTAGATTGTTCCTTCTACCCAAAGTAATAGTACACACACAGTCAATGTGAATATCCGTTTCGTCTTCCTTCAATCAAAGGCTGCAGATGATATTTTACTGCGTGGTGCCTTGATAAGCAGGCGACCAGTCAGCTCAAATAATCTCTTCTTCTTTGAATCCGCCAGAAAAATTTTGGGCCAATTAGAGCAGCTATCGAACCGGCTTTTCCGAGCTCGCTCTCTATTCGTTGCCGAAGATACCGCAGTTACAGTGGCCCAACTGAGTGTTACTTGTGGAGACAATTCCAACAGTCTACTACAGATTTCGAGGTTATTCCTCGTAAGGAGAGTTCGAGTTGGAGTTAAGCTATCCGTGAAGATATTATTGATTGTTTCTCTCAGACCCCTTTCAAGTTTTAGTCTGTAACAACTTTCAAAGGCATGAGTCTCTGTTTGGGATCAGTCAGTTCACCGCTGTCGGCTTACTGGCTGTTAGGATTGCCAGGCCAGGCATTCAATTAGATAAAAACTATAATGTTTCAACGTGTTTTAATGGACATTTATACATATATTATATTTTATAAATTAAAAGCTAAATAATAATAATGTAATATTATAGTTAAATATTAAGTGGATTCATTCGAACAAAAAAATCAACATTCATCGTATACATTACATTAAATCTGATCGTTGAAATAATTTTTCTTTGTTTATTTTTGGCGTTGGTATTTTATACGCTGAACCTATTAGTAATGGTTAATAATAATAATAATTAAGTGGATTCATTCGAACAAAAAAATCAACATTCATCGTATACATTACATTAAATCTGATCGTTGAAATAATTTTTCTTTGTTTATTTTTGGCGTTGGTATTTTATACGCTGAACCTATTAGTAATGGTTAATAAGGGTTATGTTCATGCATACGTATGTAACAGGCAGCAGCATAATTAGCCGAGTCGATCTAGCCATGTTCGTCTGCCTGTCTGTCCGTCTGGATTGTTTGGTGCAGTTGTAAGTTTTGTCCGATTTACCTCAAATTAATTTTCAGAGCTCTACATAAGAACTTAATGAAAACGTGTTTAAACGATTTTTGAAATTCCACCCGCATGTATGAAAAAGTTTAAAAACCTTGATATAAATCTTTTATGCGTCCCATCCGATCGGCCTTAAACATAATTTCAAAAATCTTTGTTCAAATTCAATGCAGGGGTATTTCATACTTTTTCAAAAATGTGTTCCTTCTTGGTGGAAATGGGGGTCAGAGGTTTAATGGGTGACGTTTCGCCCGCAAATTCATTTCCAAGGATCTATATGTAAAATCATTTGAAACGTGTTTCACTTTTTTCGCAAAATCTAAACTTCTTCGGTAGAAATGCGATTAAAAAATTTTTTTGGCGAAGTTTAAAGTGGTGTCCGATTTCATTCATACTTATTTTCAAAGAGCTCTGTAAGAACTTAATGAATACGAGTTTCAGCAATTTGGGAAATTTCACCCACAAAAAATGTTTGCATGAAACTTTCTTGCTAATTATCGGATCGGCGTCAAACTCATTTTCAAAGATCTTTGCTCAAATTCGCTTCAGGGTTGTTTCGCACTTTTTGGAAAATCCATCGCTTCTTGGTGGAAATGGGTGATTTGGTAGGTGACATTTCGCGCTTAAGCTAATTTCCAATGATCCATAAGAAAAATCATTTGAGACCTGTTTTACAATTTTCGTAGAATCAAAGCATTCTCGGTAAAAAGTGCAATTCAATGTTTGAAGTTTAATGTTTGGTAATGTTTTAATTTATTTCCGATTTCCTTCAAATTATTTTGACAGCTATACATACAAACTAAATGAATACGTGTTTCTACGACTTGGGAAATTCCACCCGCAACAGTGGTAAATTGGCGGAACACTTTTGAATGCAAGTTATTTATTTATCGTCCGATTAGATTCAAAATCGTTTTCAAAGCTTTTCAAGAGCATTTATCTTATACGTGTCACTGGCAAGGCCGGGCTATACCCGCTAGTCGTTTATTAGGGAAGGAAGGAAAGCAGTTTTGAACACACAAAATGCTAATAATTTTCCAAACTTTATAAGCAATTCGTGTATTATGTATATATATATCCTTAGCTTTATAATCGTTTATCAGATCACTCAACTTTTCGTTCCATTCAGAAAATACGCCGATACGACGAACTTTCGCCGCACATATTTTTAAATCGGATATTGTGTCGGTGATTAAAACGATCCTGCTAACCACTGTTTGCCCTAAACTCTGTTATGTTCATAGCTTTGGCAAAAATCAAAGCTTTTTTTTTAAAAAACTTTGTTATGTTCTAAGTTTTGGCAAAAATCTAAGCTTTTTCTTTAAATAACTCTGATGACATTGTGTAAACCACAAGAGTAAAGACTTTTCTGGGTATTCGGCATGTTTCTGGCGCTCCAGTTTACTACAAAAGGATGTTTACAGAATAAAAACTTTTTTGGGTATAAACGATGTTATTGTCGATGGAGTTATTTGCCACCTCGATTTTTTTTGTTCAATTATCAATGTCTGACATAATGCAATGTTTTTGCTAGGTTGATAACGTCTTATGCGTACGTTTTTGTGCTATTAAAGGCGGTATAGCGCTCTGCAACAGTGATTTACCGACAAAAAATTTACAACCAAATTTCAATTTATAAGATGTTCAATATTCTAAGCGTTGCGAAGGACCAAAATGTACGGAGTCTTTACAAATTAACGAATATTTTTTAAAGGGACAGCATTTTTTACGAATTATTGAGACGAATTATCGGGATTCGACTGTACAATCACGTCAAATGCGATTTTTATAATTATAGTGCATTGCAAAATTAAGTAATATTTCTATTCGAGCGAACGGTCTTTAAACATATCTCTCGAGCGTCGTTAGTTTAATGCAGTATGCACTGACATTACTAAAGCTTTCAATAGGGCACGTCAGGTCGTTTTCGTTAAGAAAATCGTTATTATCACGTACGTATCAACAAAAATTTGTCCGCACCTTATATTGCATCTTCTAGGGTACCTCAGGGAAGTTTTCTTGGTTCGCTTCTATTTAAATTGTTTATTATTCATACAGGGAGTTGCTTCCGTACGTCCGATTGTCTCTTATTTGCCGATGACCTTAAAATATTCAAATGCATTTTGGCTCAGCATTATCATCAAATTTAGCAAATATATTTATGCCATTTTTTCATCCGATTTCATTAATGGGCAAGAACTTACTCGTTAATCAGAATGAGTAATTTTTTACTGTAAGTTCTTATTCATTCAGGATATAAATATACATTATGTCTACGGCGTATGCGATGTCTGGATTTGATAGGTGCAATTCAACCCAGTTTAAAGACCCCCAAATATAATTGAAAGACTGCAAAAACGGTTTAAAAATTTAATTTACATTTCCTTAACTTTACTGACCCTGTTACCACTATACAGAGATAGGCGTCGATTACTATATTTATTATCTGTGGAAGATAGAAGAGTGATAGCAGCGTTACTTTTTTATACCCTAAACCCATTAAAAATGGGTATAAGGGTATATTGTATTTGTGCAAAATCCAAATGTATGTAACAGGCAGAAGAAAGCTTCTCCGACCCCATAAAGCATATATATTCTTGATAAGCATCAATAGCCGTGTCCGTCTGTCTGTCCGTCCGCCCGCCCGTCCGTCCGTCCGTCCGTCCGTATGTATGAACGCAAGGATCTCAGAACCTATAAGAGCTAGAAACTTGAAATTCTAAAGTAGAATATATACATATATATATTTGATGTTGGAAGAAGAGGGTACTTTTTTTAAATAATTTAATTTAATTGTTATGCAAGCAAAGAGTCTATGAACAGATCATTAAACTTTTATAACAATCTACCAACTAAAATGCATTTCAATGTTTCTGCCCATATTATTAAACAATATAAACATAAGCTTAAAGCATTTTTTCTTTAAAACAAATTAATTAATTAATATTTTCTTTAAGTTTCATATTTTCTATTTAATTAGTTATTTAAGATAATATTTAATTTAAGATAAGCTGAAAGCTATCAGCATTGGGTAATAAATAAATAAATTAGATTTTTGAAATTTTTAACGATAATGATCAATATCTTGAACAAATCGTGGTTTTAAAAGAAAAAATAAAAACTTTGTGATGTTGCTGCTTGAATAGTATATATAAATATACTAGCGGGTATAGCCCGGCCTTGCCCGTGGCATGTATAAAATAAATGTTCTCGAAAAGCTTTAAAAATGATTTTGAACCTGATTGGACAGTCAATCAATAATTGGAATGACACCCCTTTTCACCAAAAAGGGATGGATTTTCCAAGAAAGGGATGGATTTAGCAAAATAGTTTCATGCAAACATTTTTTTTTAATTAACGACCGTCGTGGGTGGAATTTTCCAAAACGCTGAAACACATATTCATGAAGTTCTTATGGAGCGCTTTGAAAATAAGTTTGAAGCAACACGGACACCAGTTAAAACTTCGCACAGAAAATCATTGAATTGCTCTTCTGCGAAGAGAGTTAAAATTTATCGAAACACATGATTTTTTATATAGATCCTTGCAAATGAATTTGAGCGCGAAACGTCCACCAAATTTTTGACCCCCAAGAACTAAGATTTTTAAAATTCAGTTTAAGGCCGATCGGATGATACGCTTAAAAGATTCATACAAACGTGTTTGATTTTTCCATACTTGCGGGTGGAATTCAACAATCGCTTATACATGTATTATGTTCTTATGTAGAGCTCTGAAAAAAATTTGAGGTGAATCGGTCAAAACTTACAAATGCACCAAAACA